AGTCATACGAATCTTGGATGTGTGTGGGTGACTTGCCGGCAAGTGGTTTAAGGATACCTGCTAGATATCTGGCCAGCTCATGTGGTGGTGAACCTATGCCATCCACTATTGGTCTTATGGGGACACCTTCCTTGTGAATTTTCGGCAACCCGTACAGTCGTGGTTGGATTGCACTTTTTGGGTACAATCGACACCACTTGCCTTGCCCCAGATGGTTTATCACAGATCTTAGATACCTCCCAACTTCAACTTTACTCTTACTCATAATTGACGTGATCTTTCTGTTAATAATTTGTCGGTAAGGACCATTAGCTATGTGTTGTCTAACTTTATGAAGATAGTCACTCTTATTCATGACGACCGTGGCCTTAGCTTTATCTGCCTTTGTAATTACTATGCTGTCTCATCAGACTGAACACCCAGCACTGATCACGTCACCAGTCATAAGGAATCTCACTGATTGGTTCCCTGATTGACTTAAAACCCAATCAACCTACTTACCTACTCACTTGGCCTGACGAAGCTCTTGTTGTCAAAAGCGAAACGTTGCCCAGCAATAACTCCACCGATTGTTTACCAAACCCCTCTGAAAGGATGATAGTTCTCTTTACTGGACTCCTTACAAGTATATAGCACCAAACTAGGCTGTTACCTGCAAAAGGGTAAAAAGAGTATCTGTAAAGAAAGACTACAAATTAGCTACTGCTCACGAGTCTCCTAAAAGGACCAACCAGAAGTCGAAAAAAACAAAGGTCTCAATCTACGGTGGCAGGTTATGAACTGTAAGATGTTGCGCCCATGATAGCAAATACTTGTTTCTGCTAGTAGGATTAAGGTTCTGCAGACAAATTTAGTTACTCTGTTTAATCTTTGAAGATACGGGTTTGAGAACCGTCGCAAACAAGTTTAATGTGGGTAATCATATCAGTATGAACGAACTGTACCCAACTTCCTTCGCTCATAATCGTGTTTACCGCTAAGAAGTGTTCGCTACTGTCAAAGAGATATTGGTGCAAAAAGATTTGGTAATTTTTAGTGGAGTTTTTGCAGTGTCAGTGGAGTTAATCTCTGAATTGAAAGGCCGAGAAGCACTGTACACCTGTTTCATTCTTGTTGGGAATCATTAACAGTCAGAATATCACAAAATTCCAGGTAGTTTCGGACTTACAAACTTCTGGACAGTGGTTGCACACCTAGACGGTTGACCACGAGGGGCTGATCAGCTCTGAATTGGATATAATATGCTACCACTCATCCTTAAATCACCGAAACCACGTCACTTTGTCACGTACTGACTAGCTCCTTAAATGACAACTTCTCGAAGCACTGTCACCTGTTTCATTCTTGTTGGGAATCATTAACAGTCAGAATATCACAAAATTCCAGGTAGTTTCGGACTTACAAACTTCTGGACAGTGGTTGCACACCTAGACGGTTGACCACGAGGGGCTGATCAGCTCTGAATTGGATATAATATGCTACCACTCATCCTTAAATCACCGAAACCACGTCACTTTGTCACGTACTGACTAGCTCCTTAAATGACAACTTCTCAGAATGAAGATTCACTCAACTTGTGAAATATATTTTTTCTCTGAGATTAATGGCAATGTGAGAATACTTGATAATTTCCAACGCAGATTTACCAAATGCACAAATCTTCCTAGGTAGGCTTGCTAGTGTCTATGCCTCTTTGTCTAGTAACCTACACATTTAACAACTTAGCACCTTATCGTAGACATTTTAGGCCCATTCCGCGGACGGATAAGTAGCTCGGTCGCTACAGCAACAACTGGCTAGTAAAGCGCTTTTTACAGCAAGGAGGAGTTAGAGTGAAGGTTGAAATGAACAGCCGATGGCGAGAGTACTCTTGCATATACTACATAACACATGAGCTTTATCGATAATTTGCTTGCATCCATCAGCATCATCAAGGACATCCACAACAACGATGGCATAGATGTTCCAGTACCACTGAAGAAAACTTATTTTACAAAAACTTAGATGAGGAGAAAGGCAAAAGTGGACAGGATACAAACATCATGCTAGAGGCTTTCGTAGTGTATGCGGTATTTTAACATGCCATTTCAGCTATGCAAAGTAGATGTGAACTCCGAGGTTAGATTTACTCAGGAATATCACAGCATCGTAAAGGGAATGACTCGAAACGTTGCTCTGACATTGAAGTAAGTCTTTGTGACTGGAATAGTAAGGTTTTCTACAGTTTGGCAATCACTTATTAACAGGTTACTCAGGTTGGAATTAGTCAAATAAACTTGCTCGTTGTATTCTCGTCAATCTAATTTCTTACGTCCTGTGTGAACATCACAGTCGAGGAATTCATTTTAGGCTCATTCAACTCTTCCGTTCACATCAGTACGAAGCGCAAACAGGTTACGAGTACAAGTGGTGAGTGTACAATTGATGAAAACTCTTTAGTAGTCTGCTTCTGGGCTTTTCGAAGGATTTCCCACCGTATGCCTTCAGTAAACCCCAGATCGAATCAAGCAGTCATTCTATTGAAAAATAACTGATGACCTACCAACCGTGCACATTTGCTTACAAATCGTCCATTCAAAGTTATTAGGGTGAAGATTGGTTATATTCTTTCGGGCTGATGCATCTTATGTGAATACTGCGTATAATAACATCGATTATTGGCTTGCAATGGGTTCTTAGTTGCATCAAAGTTCCCACCAACATTTCTCACTAGTTTGAAATAGTAGGCTACCACTAAGAGTATTCCGATTTTGCTTTTAACCAAGAATCACTCACCTTTAACGCATGCTAAACTACAGTTCTTCGAACTTGACACTGGATAGCTTGAAACTAGTCGATTCGTTTCCAGACGGCACCCGGTTTGATACGTCTCCAAATAATGAACTTTTTGCATCTTGTTTGTTATTTCTCACGATTTTGTTTATTACTTTCCAGCTAAACGGAGCCATGTCTATGTCAATTTGCCGATGCAACTACCGATTTTGAACCCCAACCGTCCACTACACTTTATAACCGATCAATCAACTAACAGAGGGATGCCTAATACATCGAGCTGCACGGAAAATGTGGCTAAACCAAACAGCCAAACGTCCGATCTATCGAACGACGGTGAGGTTGTTAAGAGTCAGCATGTCTCTAGCAGCCTGGATTCCAACGAAGGGAAGTCAGACAGGTTCTTTTGGTCCCCCAGGTGTCCGCCAGATGGGGCTGCAGTCTACGACACTTCTCCTACCAATTCAAGTGTCTCCTCATCGCCCATTGTCAAGTCGCATCCAGGTCTTACGGCACTCAGTGGAACAGGTCAAACGCAAGAACAAGAAGATTTGGCTGATCAGAAAAACAAACTACGAAATCTTAGTTTGGGCATAGAGGTTGTTTCTGGGAAGTTGACCGACTGTAGGAAGCCACTGAAGCTATCACTACGACCATTTTCACCAAGCCTCACAGGGGCACCATACACTGGAAACAACTCCAGCCCAGAAAAGCTGTCAAGTCAAGAGGAAACCAAGGTAAGACAGATTTATTTGAAGGCACCTTTGCTTGCCTCTTACTTAGTGTGCACGAAAGCTAATCAGTCTTTCCTAGTCGCTTAACTAAGAAAACTCCGTTAAAAGCACACTTCAGAAAAGTGAATCTTGTATTCTTCACCTTCAACACTTACTGGTTGGTACGAGGCTGCATTGAAGTCTATCGGGTTTCAAGGCTGATTTCGCTCTAGCTCATCGACAGAAGAAAAACTAATAAATGTAGGATGTTGTGACAATAACAAGCTGTTCTCCAAATGAAAGAGTTGGATGGTATGCATATTAGGGTAGACTTAAGTTTGCTGTGCTTTGGTCGAAAATATTTGATATGATTCTGCCTGCACACAAAATATGTAGTATATATATATATATATGTGTGTGTGTACGCTGAAAAGTCTTGAAGCACCGTACAGCTCTCTCATCCTCATTGGAAATCATCAACAGTGCTCATCTCACGAAGCTCCAGAGTTTCGAAACCGTGACCTTCCGACTAGTGGTTCGAACACCCAACCTTTCGGCCACGAGCAGCTGATCGGCGGTGTGTTTACCTCGCTCTGCTCATCCGGTGATTGCAGCAGGAGCCCTGTTCCAGTACAAATCAGTGCAACCAAAATGTTTTACGTCTTTAACAACGTATTGAGAAAAAACATGTTTGTAAGGATAGTTCATTTTGTACACTTGTGTCATAAAATGTAAACACTGTAAAACGCAATAACTTCCCATTCACCCTCCGTATTTTGCATAGATTTTGACAAAAAATGAACAATTTAATCCTAAAATGTGTAATTTTAGTTAGACCCAATGGCTTTTTTCTCGTTTTCATTAAATGCATTCGCAGCCTTATCACTAATGCTTAATTAATAGTGGTGAATTTCAGCTTTTTCTACATAACAAAACGTCATTACCGTTTCAGTGCTCAAAGGAAACGCAAAGGAATCAAACAGTCTACCATTACCCTACTTGTATCGTTCGAAGCTCAATGTCTGGCACAGAGAAAGTTTTGCATTTAGTCAGCGTTCGAACAAAAGTGATTCTTAAGATGTGCGATGCACATGGTAAGCATGACCTAGTTTCGGGGTTGCATACGTTCCATGTCTTGAAAAGGACACACGTGTGTAGCGGAAGGGAATTTTGTTCCGATTCAGTGAGCTGTTGTAAGTAATAGGGAGAAACCACTATGTTTCTTCTTGCGAAGTGTTTAGGCCACGTGCATCACCACACTACTTGAGGACACGCGTCCTTAAGCACTAGAGCAACCAAGTGGTCTGAAACCAACCCAGCCTAGTTACCATGCTTTGTGCACAAAAATGAAATACCAGGCTTCTATAACGTTATCCTCACCACAGTGGAACATCGGCTAGCTTTTGCCATTGTAACAATGATTGCAAGTTTTGTTTGGAATTTAACTGTGCTCGATACCATTAGCTGTGAAGTGTGTGGAAGAAGCAAAAAATATGTGTTGTCTGAAACAGAGAAGCTACAGGCAAACTATGTCGTGTATTTGTTTTCAAGCAACGTTCGAGAAACGAATAGTCTCCAGACATCATTTTCAAAGCCGATAAATTAACAAACGATATCACAGTCGGTAGGCGACAGACAGCCATAAGTATTCTGTTCACTTAATTCTACCTTGCTGTCTAAGCGCGACAGTAATAATATCACAAACTTTCGTAGACGTCTAAACCTTCTTTTAGCATGGGTCATGTTGTCTTCCTTAAGAACGCAACCCAGAAGGACAGATCAAGTCAGAATGCCTACTGTTTCTTGCACCGGAGAACGACTTAACTCTCGCAGCAAGAAACAGGGCTACTAGCGAAGAGCTAATAATGATGATTGGCTCCACTTACTAGCAATTCTAAGATGGGCCACAATACTGGATAGCACAATAAAATACTATACATTCGTTGGTTAACTTTGCTTAGTGTAAACGCTTTTCACCCCTGTGCAACTGAGCTTAGCTGTACTGCACTGTTCACATATCAGTAGTTAATTAATCTCTCTCTACCTCAATAGAACTCAGTGGTTAATGTGCAAACTTACTAACCGGAAGGTCCGTGAACTCAACCTCTGTCTTGACTGTCTTCGTCTGGGCTAGAGCGAGCTGGCAATTTCTAAGCCCCCTGCTTTCTTCGTGTGATGTGATACCTGGGTATCGAAAGGATGCCACGGATGAACCATCATTTCTTTATTTTTTTCCCTGTTTTCTCTCCGTCAAAGTTCTCTGTTAGTATTCACGAGTCGAAACATGGTTATTTAGTTTATGGACGGCAAGCTGTGATAGATGGTTATCACTAGGAGCATTCGAAAACCCCTATGAATGAGCCATTTTCAAGGATCATTTCATGCAGATAGCTGTCTTTGATGGTTAATAGTTTTTTGGTGAATGGTACGTTTTTTTGTTCTGGCATTCGGACGCGTTCTTCAAAAACTATCAAGATGTTGCAGACAGTAGTTGGCCAAGCCGCTCTTTCACTTTTCAGGTCTACCAAAGGTCTGGAACCAAAATTAAACTTTTTTCCAACTTACCTGAAGACTGCCGCAATAGCGAACTCCAACTCCTCCATTTTTGCCTTTATTCTGCAAATGCCCCTCTAGATAAGTTCAACAACCAATCGCTTTATTCGACCTATCCAGCGTAGCTGGCTATGTGCATCAAGGCGCATTACGTTGGCCTTTGTTCGTTGCATATCGTTGATCTTCCTTCAGATTTAGTGTTTGAGATCCAATGTGATTATCGGATTCAGAGAACACTGAATAGGCATTGTGAGCGAAATTTTCTGAACAGTCTAATATGCCTCAGGTATAACGTCCATTTCTTATTGCCGTGCAAAAGCAAAGACAGTCCGACAGCTTGCTACACTGCAAGCGTGGCGTCCAAACATGGGTTGTAGTTGCTTGAAACGCGTAGATGTAGACCATCGGAAGCAGCGCTTCCCTTGCCAATCCAAACCTATAGTTCACAACAGAGAAGGTTCACGAAGAAAGTGATGCCCCCGCAGCAGAAGTCTCTGTAAAACAATATGCTGTTGCCACTAATTTGAATGCAGGGGTACCTGGTGTTGTAAACCCATTATATTTTTGTAAAAGACAAATTCACAAAGCCGTTTGTGTTTAGACCAAATTGAGAAGCTGACAAGACAAATTATGTGGCCATACCTCGACTCCGAACTTGCAAATACCTAAACCATCTGCAAAACGTAGCATACGAAAATTTCAGCTTCATGTTAGCCATAAAGCACCTGGGGGTGGAGAGTTGTCCAGTCAGACATTATTAGATTGGTATGCCTTCTTGAAAGTCATGAAACGCTTCCGTGCAAATCATATTCAGACTGATACCGGGCAAATTTGGAGGCAGTTGGCAACTTCAGTGCCCATTTTGAACTCGGTAGGGATGATTCCACAGATACGTACTCGGGTTTTCAGACCAGAGCAGCACTGACATATTTTTCAGGATCGCCTAGCTCTTAGTCAGCAATACAAATTTCCCTGTTGATTGAGTCAGAAGATTTCTAACGTTCGCTAGCAGTGCGTATAACGCCTGGTTCTCTTCCAGGTATGTTTGTGGAAGCTGGCACTCAGCAGAAACAGGGTCATTTGGGCTGCGTTTGATTTTGAATCTACACTTATCTCCGAGGGTATTTTTCCTCCCCGAATATTAGCGTCTAGATGGTTGATCAGGAACCAACCTGCGATTTTACTTGCGGACCAAGGAAGCCTGATTTTACCACAGTTTTCCTTTCTCTATCAACTTCGCTCTTCGTTTAACAGTGGTATATTTGTGGGGTCCTTGAACTATTCTGTTAGCTTCACAGACTTCCCCTTACTTCATAGATGGTTGAGGTGGATCAATTTCATAGGGACTTGGAACAACTCTGCAAGACAGTTCATATCTACTTTGGATATCTTAAGTATTGCTTGCGTCCTAACGTCTTTTTTGGGCCTAATGGTTCTACTTGCAGCCTCCCAGACATAATCCTTAGTCCCCTCTTCGTCGAACAACTGCGTTGAATTGAACAGTCTGCGGGCATAAAACCCTACATACTTCTGCAATGATTATTTTTCCAACAGCTCCTTGCTAATGAGCTCGATAGAGAGAGAAGAGAAACTCCCCCATGACTAGCCGCTGTTTGGATCATACCAGTGAAAGGCGCATTTTGAAGTCAGAAAAGTGTAACAACTTTGTTATGAGAACTTGCTCCGGATCTCCTTATCGGATAGTGGTATGATTCGGAAGATGTCCGAATCGACGTTCTGGATGCACTCAAACCGTGATTGATTGTATCCCGAGGATGAATAGTATATGAATGCTGACAAGTCTCCTCATAGTTCCACACGTCATCAGTGCATGCCGGCCGTTTACGCACATGCATACAAGTCCGAACGGCCCTTCCTTGTTTATCTATCACGATTGATTCGGGAGTTGAGAGCAGCCATGTAGAATTGGCGATTTGTTAACTGAATGGATGGTTAACTGAACGGATGACAGCTGTTCGTAGGCTCCCTGTCGATTGCGACTTCGTTGAATCATACACACTGACAGAAGGGGGTAAATGTCCCCTCGACAGGAGAAGTTTAGTAGTCATTATCCTCTAATCTGATCCACCCAGTATTCTCCGATTCATAAAATCAGTCAGGGCGAATATGATCACAGGTTCCTTTCAAGTGTCCTGCAAAGTTTCAAACCAACAGAAGCCTCATCCAGCTCCCTGTATTCTTCCTTAATCAGCCAGCAGAGGTTTTCTGAGAAGAGTTAGGTCAATAAGAGAGGGTTCGGCTCCGTCGCCTCCACCTTCGTGGAGGGGGATTCTAAAGCTCCAAATTCCCAGTCGAATTTAGGGTATTTGGTTTTCAGGATTTTTAGTTGATAACCGCTGCGATTTTCAAGTCCTTACTTACTTTGTTACTTTCTTTCGCGGTGCACGCCGATTTTGAACCTCAAAATGTTAGTTTCCCATCCACCTCCTACAATGAATCTTTGTTCCTTTCAACTATGTGTAAGTGTGAGATTTTGGAGACCAATGCCAGTTTTTTTATCTAACCATATTAGTATATGGATCCGTCATCGTAAATAAATTCATCACCGGTCACTTTTCTCATCGCTTTCTGGTCAACAGGATTATCAGGAACACTATGTAGTTCATATATCCCTAGTTATCTATTAATCGATTAATAGTTTGGTCCAGTTGAATTCTGGTTTACAGAGTCAACATAAGACACCAGTGTGTGGTTAATTTCCTGAAGCAATGACTCAATATTTTACAGAGAGGCGGTTCTATGTAAGGCGTTCAGATAAAAAGCTAGCTTTCCATATATTCATCCAGGCATCTCGCCCTACAAGTTTGAAATAATACCTCTGACGGTGGCCGGCGCTGCACTTTCGTGCACAATAATTTATGTGCGTATTCGAGACAGGGCTCAATGACCGGACAGCCCGGAGGTTATCAGCGTATTTTTGGTCAGTAAAGTATATAAACATGTCCCAAGTTTCCGTTGCTTTCAATTATGTTTCCCACACTTCAGGTTGTTTGACAGTGCCTACATGACATGTTCCGTTCTCGTTCTTTATCGATTAGCCTGTGGGAATCAACTAATTGAAAATATTCTTATCCTAATTTATGTATTAGCGGTACTGGGCCAGCTGAGTCATAGACCAAACAGGCAAAAAAAATCCCCATTAGTGCTTCCGTCGATGGGTGAACAAAATCGGCAACGTTATGAGTAGTGTACTACGTCTATACACGTATCGTGATATCTCAGATATCGTGACAACTAAACCATGAGATGGCCTGGTGCGGCACATTTAGTTGCTTGAAAACATTCTAAAGGAGAAATTCAGCTGGGTTCCAAGTGAGTCTGCTATCAAAACCCAACTGATATGCAAATGAATGCATTTGTCGAAAACCGGCTTATATTTAGTCGTCATAGATTTAATCTGTCAAAATGAATGAAAATCCCATCGAAAGCCTACATTGGACACAGAAACAAGAATGAGACAGTGGGACGGCCAGGAATGCAACAACGTAACCTCCCACGATTTATTTCCAAATTGCCTTTGGGCACACCTCTTACCAGGATAATCGGCATAACTGGTCTGGCACAGACTGAAAGGTGCACAAAACACATTCCTCTTCAATCACTTGAGAGGTGATCCCTTCACAATCTTACTGGCTGATTTTCATCTTCATCAAAAGCACTGTGCAGTGTGCTTGTAGTCCTTGGGCAGCGACACCGCCGTACACATGGAACAATTAATCTGTTTTACCCACTGATTTCATTCTAAGCTTGATAATTTACCTTTATGACAAATACACAAGCCCGTACTCAGGTCTGCTAAGAATGTAGTACGTTTGCTAGCGGATTGTTGAACAAATTGGTCTGCAGTGCTCCAGTCCAAAAACCGTATTTCTTTTTGCAGCCAGCAAACAAATCCCAACTCTACTCAGATTCGAACTGTCCAGGTACATCCAGTGGGCCCCTCTGTAGCCATCCCTCGGCGTCCAGTCCACCTTTGCCACTACCACCTCCGCCCACTCAGTCTCCGATTCCTTTTCAAACCAATCCTCCCTACTATCATGAGCATGCACGTGCTGATGAGTTGTGTTTGAACCCAAATCGGAAAACCATGCCCCCTGGATCATCCAGTGACAATGAACCAATGGCATTTTCTAAACTAAATCAAGAAAACGGGTCGAATTCACCACCTGTTCCTCTACCGCTACCGCCACCGCCACCTCCAAATATTGCCCCTGCTGTTCCTCGAAGAGATCCTAACACTGCACTGCAGCAGACTCCCAAATCAACACCCAATACACCCCCAGTGAGTGTTGTTTGCTAAAACACCCCCGTCATGCCACAGATATTATGACTAAAAGCCGTATCATATCAAATAGTATCTAATTCACTCTAGACGTTACTGTCAGCACTTTGAAGTATTCACCGCTATCTATGTTCTGCTACGTTCGATGAATTAGTACTAGTAAAGGAATAAAACAGCTGTTACTATGATAGATGCACTTTACTGGAATACCTCCTAAGGTCCTTTACGTAGTTCCTTTTCAGGAGAGCGTCAGATGCATGAATGTGAATTGGAGTGCACCCTTGAGTGTCCCCAATGAAATCAGTGTTGAGCTAGAACTCGAATTCAAATCAGATAATTTTGTAAGTAGAGGTTCCAGCCAATACCCCGGCAACGCATGCTGCTTTCCGGGTCGTATGCACAGTAGATTCTCTCACAGAACATAAGCTTGTAGCTTATAGTATAACGGTGATACTACGGATGAGGAAGGCATGCGAGTAGTATGTTTTCTTCTTTTAAATTGGCTTTGCGTCCCTTGGAAAGGGAGATCTGTTGCGGACTTTGTGGAGTCGCTTTGTAGCATTTGCTCGGATTTGAGCAACAGTCAATAAATATCTAGGAAAGTTCAGGAAGACATGGTCAAGAGAAGATGGATGTTCAGTTTTTGTAAATAAGATGCAAATGAGAGTTTTGCTTCCCTGTCCAATAGTCTGTAACTGGTCATTTGGCATTTTCTAATAAAAAAACCTCACAGCGAAGGCCTTGTTCCTGTTCAATTTTAGTAGTGTAGTTGACTGGTATTATTATTCAAACTAGTGTTGCCACTTCTGATACTGCTCTTATCGTTTCCTTCATTTGTCTCTAGCCTCAACCAATTGTGCCTACCACACAAACTCAATCCGTTCCACTGGCTCAGAATTCACCTATAAGCAGTGTTGAGCTTACTAATTCCAACACACCATCAACGTCTAAAGACAGTCCGTCGTCAGTTTCCTGTACGTCCACTCCTACCTCCACCCCGATGACTGCTAATGCGGACGCGCCACAGCGGAACCATCAAAATCAAGCCCCATTGGAGACGGATACACACAGCACGCTGACAGCATCATCAAGTTCATCCAAATCAACCGCCAAGCATGTCATAAGTCGACCGATCCCACTGAAGGGCAGCCCGGAAACGGAGACCCCATCTAGCCCGATAGGTTATCATAGACATAGTAGCCTTCCAAGTCAAACCACCGTGATGAGCATCATAGACGGGCGAACCGTTGTGCCTTGGAATCCAAAGAGCAATGATCCATCGCTTAAGGCTTCGTTGGCAGCGTCGGGCAGTACTTTGCAAGACGCAGTCACAGCATCTCTATTATCTCAGTCAACTATTCTGTCAGATGCCACTCCACAATGGATCCCCCCGGAGCAATCAACGATTCGACAGCGATTGCTTACCGGCTGTTCAAACAAAAAGGTTGAATTTATCGGTTCAGCGGACGGTGAATCAGTGCAAAATCAGGAATTCTTGAGTCATTCGACGCAGAGCGTGCAAAGCAAGAGGCCAACCTGCCTGACTGGCAATGCACAGCAAGCTGCTGCGGCTAGATCTCGTAACCGCCCGCAGCGCAGTCAGACAGAACACATGTCCTCACGCTCTGAACGTGACCCTCGAAGGCACCATACAACCTCTGACATGGAACCAGTGGGAGAGTTGACTGGACAACGTTCCTCTGGTTCAGTTGGATTGCATATTACCGAAAAACAAGCATGTCGAGGTGCTGTACCTCCATCCGAATTTGAAATGATTGGTAGTGTGAGGGATCAAAATGAATGCCAGTCTCTATCGCCAACTGAAGCTGAATGGTGGAGAGCTCAACAACGGTCAAAAATGATTGCTTTGGGTAAGCAGGCCTTCAAATTAACTTAACGGATGTGTCGTTTTGGGCATCATGTCGCTCGTGATGTTTTGCATTAGTGCACCTGAATGTTAGTCACAAAAGTGGGTCGTAAATTTCCCCTTGCACGATCTATTCTGTGAACAATTGCAGTTAAATCAACGTTTCTAAAACTTGACATCGAACAAGGAAGATGACAACATACCAGTATTTTACTTGCCCGTGCTCAATTTCTCCTACAAAATTAATCACAGTAATTAAGCTTTTGTGACCGACGGATTCGTCCACCCCTGTCAGATTGTCCGTGGAAAATTGGATTTAGCACCTAGCCTCAGTTCAGTTGAAGAACTCACCAGTGAAGTTTAAGAAGTGCTCAAAAAAGCGAGTGACAAATAGGTGCTTATTATTGTGGACCTACCAAAGTGAGAACGTAGCTACGGAAACTTCTCTGATACAGTGAGTTACCAGTTATTAGTACGCTCCGCTTTGTTTCCTCAAACTAATGATAAACGTTGGTTACTGTCAGCTGCTGCCCGGATTTTTCCCTCCTAGGGATACGGTCATTTTAACACTAGGAAACTTTAGTCTCAATTTTCAACAAGCGGAATGAGTTTTTCTTTTGATTCCAAACTTCGCTACTATTTTACTCAATATCAAACCGTTTAGGTAACTTTACGAAACTTGTGAACGCCTGTGTGGTGAAAAGTAAATATTTGGACAAGTTTTCGAGAAGCACGTGAGCGGGATTTGCAGTAAGCGGACATAATCGGTCATCGTTGTTGCTAGGTTAATGTAGAAATCGTCCGACGCACATCCACGCACTTCCGCTTTTTTTCATCCACACAAACGCTAATGAAGATGCATACCAGTTGTCTGCACGCGTACTTAAAGTTTATTCTCCAAAGTGTAAGTGACACTGAACGCGTGCTGCACGCCATTGTTGGCGCGTATTATATGGTAAAACCCGACTAGCAGTAGAATGCACACGCTGGTTGCTTGCATACTGAATAAGGGATCATACACGATACACCCTTAAGTGCTCATTCAAGACCTGCTATCGTTTCTTGACAAATATCACATGTCGCTTTTGAATACCTGTCCATGGGGCATATTAAGTGATACATCATAAATCCTCACGTAGTTTCAGTCCAGATTCTTGCGCGTCTCCCGTTGTGTCACCTAAGTTCAACTTTCTACTTAGGGTCATACAGTATGGTGGCACACGAACGGTAATTTGTTGCCACCAGCACCATCAATCGCGAAAGCCGAAGTGACTCGTATCAGCGAAGTTGGTATATGTAAAGCCTGGTAGGTTAGTCGGTGAGCTGACGGGCCTAAAATGCAGGTCAAACCGAACTTTGTCTTTCTTAGTTTGTCATCCCCCGGGTTATCTTTTATAGTCACTTTCTTGCAGAAGCTTATATTTCGTCTCAACATCCAGAAGCACACGTCATTGCTTGCACTCATGAAACCCATCATGAGTTTTTCATTGTCAACCATCCTACGAACGATTCCATCAACTGATAGCTCGAATCCAACACAGCCTTGTATGGTGGTGGCATTGCCTCAATGCTACCACAACCATGGGTGACATTTCTCAGTGGCATTCTTCACAATGAGAAGACATTTCATTGGTGTGTAAACGAGTTAGGATGAATAAAGCAATCAGATGGCAACCGGATTTGACAGAATCATGTTCCAGATACATGTCGCTAGGTCACAGTTTGCCCTGCTCAAGTTGTATATGACCACACACATTGGCACTCATCCCATTCATAAGACAGTGCGACACGCCTTACCCTAATCAGTTACAGTGGTTACAGCTGGTTAACCATGTGTGCAGTTTGTTCTGGCGAAAGCGTACGTCTGGAGGGAAACTGATCGGCGTGTTCTACTGTGCAATGGAATGCTAGGCAAAACGTGGCGGAAACTCTGGTCTCTAGGAGGAGGCTCGTAATGTAGAAATCCACCTGTGGTTAGACGTCAAACGTTGAGGTGTGACTACTACTGTACGTTAAAATAAATCTTTGAAAATGCTTATCTTTGCAACATTCTTGCCCATTTTAATGGTATACAGGTCGAACACACAAGAGTAATATTTGTAGACGCGTGTTCTACTGTGCAATGGAATGCTAGGCAAAACGTGGCGGAAACTCTGGTCTCTAGGAGGAGGCTCGTAATGTAGAAATCCACCTGTGGTTAGACGTCAAACGTTGAGGTGTGACTACTACTGTACGTTAAAATAAATCTTTGAAAATGCTTATCTTTGCAACATTCTTGCCCATTTTAATGGTATACAGGTCGAACACACAAGAGTAATATTTGTAGACTAGTACGTAGTTTACTTGTGCGCCCCTGTGTGTGAAGGTAATTTGGTATAATATAGGCAGTGAGGAAATCTTTATCGTGTCTGAATTTCGCCCTGCACGTATAGCTGCAGTGTGCTGAAAAGCTTAGAAGCCACTTGCTTAATAGCTTACACGGCTGCTCACTTCCTTGCAAACTACCATAACTTGCTTCCACTATTTTATGCTCCTAGAATAGCCAACTTCACGAGTGTCTCGTAGCAGAGCCTTTCACTCACTGAAGTCTATGGCAAAGATCTCGAAGGTGTCGATTTAGTGTTTATTCACATGACCTTAGCAGAAAATCGCCGATAAGTACCTGAGATAAGCCACATCACTCATAAAAGGGCCAGTCCTTACCAGATCACGTGATGTAAACGATATGCTCGAAGGAATTAACGTCATTCCCCTGCCTAAACGATGCTTACTCACACTGCTGATCAATGACTCCTAGCTTCATAGAAAGTTTTCAAAGCTGCATTCAAAATGCTGTGGGTTCGAAGAATCTTATAGGTTGTGCTTTGCCAATAATTCCCAGCAACATACAGCTTTGAAGTTTGCCTCTGCCTTCTAGCAGGAGTCAGTTTCACATGCGGAGCAAAATCCGCACTCGGTAGGATTCTCATAGAGAAATGGGTAAATACCATACCGTACGTCGAAAAGTTGGCTGGTATTAAACTCCCACTAGGTTCAGTAATTCTTAGGCCATCAATACTTTATGAGCTATCAGACGAACTCCAGAGACTTGCCTAAGTGGCCCCCTTGTCTGCTATTTATGTGTTTTTTACTTAAGGATCACATTGTGCTTTCCAAGAACAACCTATTTTTCGCTTGTCTACTGGCGCTGGTGCCAAACTGTTACTTTCAAGTGTTTGGCCTTAGTCATCAACAATAAGCAGCCTAGTTTTCCCACCCTCGTCCCCTATCAAGTTTCGTTCCTACCCCTTGTGCTTCTTTTAAAGTGTCATAAAACTGTGTACGAGCTGGAATGGGAGGGAGCAACAGGCTCGACTACTTAGTGGTTGACGTTTTTGTGCCCGAAATTTTGGTAATTTGCCACCTGTTGCATCCTTCGTGGAGATTTTGTCGACACTGTGCCCTCTACAGATGTTCCTATTCTGCAGTACACTAGAGACTGGGAGTGGTTGTTCACCATAAGTACTGGTAACCACAAGTCATTAGCACCGATGGGTAGCGAACACAACTCATACCGTGAGCCAGTTGTTGTCTGTCAAGAAATGATTGGCAATAAAATAACAGACTTTACTGACGTCTGTGTGTGTGGGTTGTAGTCTCCACACTGACTTGTTCACAAGACATTCTCGGAACCATGGACAGCAAGCCTTTCTTGACACTTTTGTCGCAGGTGGTAAGGCCTACCTTGCCCATCCAACTTAAATGATGACTGACAGGCTAAAAACTTTATCTCACTCCGCTCATCTGATCCATGGGAGTTCTTCTTACTGCCGTTACTACAATATCATTCACATCGATTAGATCAATTCACCTGGTTGTTACTACGATGAAATGATCGTCAAATAGACGGCTCTTGGAACGCGGAGAAAATCCAAACGATAATGGTCACGATGGGTGGGTGCGGTAGAATAAACAGGAAGTCATAAATCTATGGAAGTCAACACGTCAGTCATCCAATTAAGTGTTCTTGTCCTTCAGGACTTTCTAGAGCTGACTCTGTTTGCATACGTCACCTGCATCGTTTTGGTTTCATTCACCAGATGGTTTTGCAACAGTAGTTTTGTTTTCGCCTTCCGAAATTACCGTAAGAGCTTTCGCTACTGCTTTCGAAACCTTGGCACACAGTTCTTGTCGGAATCAGGTATTTGTTGCTTCAAAAAAGAATAGATGGTAACAAAAGAAAGAAGGAAGGAGGCTTCTGATGGGTGCATGTGAATCTTAGTTTCAGAGGTTGTTTTGAGTAGTAAGCTAAATTCTATGTTATGTGTTTATGATGATAGGAAATGGTTCAGTATACCAAAAAATAAATAAAATGCTTACTAGCTAATTGTACGACAAACAGAGTGTTAAGTTCCTCTGATTCGGAAAATGATGTAGCCGCGTAGCCCAGTGCTTCCGACGTAGGCGGACTCTACTTTACGGAAAGGAACCTAATACAGAGTCTCATCACTGTTTACAAACGTTCCGTAGTTTCCACTCTACCTCCAAGTCTTCAATTGACTTTTCTTTGAACAAGGTGCTGCGAGTCGTTTAAGCCTCCAAAGGTAACGTTGCGTTTTCACTATGTGAAATTCTTGGTTTGTTTGTTTATAATTATGGCACGCGGGTAGTGGACAGCTCCACAACCACCGTCCGAGCATGTGAGAGCCTATTATGGCTTACCACAGAAAGCCTTTGTTTGGGTTACTTGGTTGTCTGTTTGTTTCCATTGCTATTTCACGTTTATTCTGTATGCATTTTAAGTACTACCTTGTATCAATTTGGATTCCGTCTTACTGAACCTCGTCTTATCTTATGT